GGGAATGTAATGTGTGGGTAGATAGTGAGTAATTGATCTGCGGTCGGAGTATTATTGACGTTCGTTGCTATAGCGTTTGTTTAGCGCGATTGTTGAGTGTATCGGTTAAGTTGTATTCGGAAAGAATAAACCAGTTTTATTAAGTAAAGACTTGTGTCGCTTAAGTTTCGTCGGTACGAAGTTACGGAAAATCAATTAACAAACGGAGACGTAACAATATGTATAATTACTGATAGTGTTTGAACCTGCTTGTCGCATTACTGTAGTGTTTAATACAAAAATCAGAATAAAGGTTTGCGAATTTTGTATTAAAACTGAGACCTGTCGGAATATATTTTAGCAGTTTTAAGGTTTAATTTTAAAAAAACAATTTAGAAATTCAAAATGCTCTACAATTTATAAAGAGTAAAATGCTATTTATGACTTCTTTTTTTTTTTTTTTTACTTAAAGCAATGTTATCCAATGGTTTAGCTTTTGTATTTATTAGATCATTGTAAATTAAGCTAGCATACAAAAGTAGTCGAAAGAATGCATAATGCCAAAATCTAGTATCACGGCTAACGTTTAGTCCAGCCTTTTGCATTTTGTACATCTATGAACGGTTGTCTATTTGTGGAAGTGTTGTGATAACTTTGTGTCATAGACTAAACCTTCTATAGGTTAGATTTTATCTTAATTTTCCAAACTCTTAGACAGGTGACTGTACTTTGTTTCAAGTCGTAACTGAACTTGAATGCCCAACCTAAACTTGCCACATTACTGGTACATTTCCAATACGGGATTCTTCCATCTTTTACACATAATTGCTGGGTTTTCTAACTTCCTAGTCTGGACTTCAAAAGCAGCTGACCAGGAAGTTAATTAGGGTAATAGAAACGTCGCAGACTGTTTGCATGCATACTACAGCTACTGGTTACTGCTAGGAATAAACGAGCTTTCTGGTCAGACTTACAGTTTAAAGGAATTCAGATTTCCAGACGAAGTAAATTCGGTCAGAAAAATAAACTTTAAAAGTTGCCCTTGACAACAGCAAAATTCCAGCCATTTACGTTAACCATCGTTCAGCAAGTGTACCTACCATGAGTATAGAATCAGTTTTATGTTTTACTTATTACCTACTTGTGTTGTGTTATTTTTTGGAAATAAAGAGTTTTTACATTGTGAACATTGTCTTAGGGGTCTCCATTTTGAGTCGAGTTAATCTCATTATTTTTTGCATATCAAATCCTATGATTTGAGCCATACAAGCCAAGCAGTGGCAATTCTATTTATGGATAGACACCACAAATGTCAGGACATTTAAGGAAAGTAACTGAAGGGCCCAGACATACTTTAGTTCTACTTGTCAGGAAGTGAAAATATCACAAACCAGCAAATGTTACTCATGCATATAACATCTGCCACATGTAGAGTCACTTATGAGTGTATGGTGGTGTTTTGTACCATTGTTAGGAGCCAATAAATGTAGCTACCGACCCATGTTGCAACTAGTGGTCCCCAGAATTAAAAAGCAAGAAGTAATTTCGACTTTGCAAAATGGAAGGACTGAAGTGCACCAGCAAATGTCACGCATCATTGTAAATGTGCAGAAGTGTTTTTTCTGGCTACTTTCCTAAGAAGAAACCTGCCCATCAAGGATAACCTTGACAGAGAGGTGTACGTTCACATCTAGAGAGAATTGATATAGATATAACTGATCATCTGCCTGAAACAAAGATATATAGTCAATATATGCTGGTTGGTATTGATTACTTCACCAAGTGGGCTGAATCTTATCCTTTGGTAAATGCATTAGCAAATTACATTGCTGATGTTATAAACAATGGATAGCATTATTTGGAACACCCGAATAGATTCAAATGGATCAAGGAACGGCTTCAATAACCAGTTACTTACTGATCATCTGCCTGAAACAAATAATATATGCTGGTTGGTATTGATCACTTCACCAAGTGGGCTGAATCTTATCCTTTGGTTAATGCATTAGCAAATTACATTGCTGATGTTATAAACAATGGATAGCATTATTTGGAGCACCCGAATAGATTCAAATGGATCAAGGAACGACTTCAATAGCCAGTTACTTACAGGATTGTGTCGAGTGTAATGAAAGTCTGCATCTCCCCATTTCATCCTCAGTTTGATAGTTTGGTTGAATGACCAGCACAGACTGTCAAATGCATTTTCAGATTCAGATGAAAATGACATTTTTTTGCTGGTGGTCATTCATGTCTGTTTCTTGAAGCTGATGGTAAGGATTTGGGGAAACTCAGTCACCTGAGAAGCACGTGACAGCAGCCAGACCAGTGGTCCATGTTTTAAATATGATAAATGGCTTCAGTTTTACGAAAACTGTTTTTATTATTTTGTACTTTGAATTTGTATTTTTGTATTGTATTATATTTTTTTCACACTGCATCTTGATTAGTTTTGAACTGTATTCATACCTTTTGGAAACATTCCAGTTAACTTTCTATTTTCTTAAGTTTGTATTATACACAGTTTTATTTTATGATGTATTTCAATTCATTTCAAAATTGTATTTAATTCAGTAATCAGATGATTTTGTTATTTGTTTACCTTTTTTAATGTTTGCAACAATCATAGGTAGCCCTGTATCTTAATTTTTTCTATTTTCATTTGTTAGCTTATTTTACATTTTATTCGTATAATTTGTTTGTTTTTGTAATTTCGCGCAAAGCTACTCGAGGGCTAGCTGCACTAGCTATTCCTAATTTAAAAGTGATAGACGAAAGGAAAGACAAAAAGTCAACACCACCCATCGTCTATTCTTTGGCTACTCTGATCGAATAGTGAGATTGATGTTTACATAATAATGCCTCCACGGCTGAAAGGGCCAACAACTGTAGTGATGAATTTTAACTCGCAACCCACAGAATGTGAGTCGGTCGTCATAACCACCAGACCATGTCAGGTTTATTCATTTTATTATTTTAGCTTTGTGGAGCCTTTTTGATGGAATAAAGGTAATTTCTCTCGTAAACATGTAAGTGTCCTGATTCACTGTCTACTGGAACTGTAGTCTTGTTAAGTAACTTGAAAATGTGGCCTTATAACGTATAAAGTTTAGGGTTTGGGCCTTGTAAAATTCAGAGATAAGGAATAGGAAAGATTTTGTTTTCAATTGAAAGAACTGTTACTTTTCTCCCTTCAATAATTGAAATAATGTATTCTTATTTAGATATATTCAGTTAAAGTTTTATAAACTTTCATATATATATATATATATATGTAAGTGTTGTACATATAGTTAGTTAGCATCCTTATAAACAGGTTATGAAAGTTCGTAAACTTGTGTTAACCCTTTTGCTTAGACAATGACTACATACCACAATGGCCTTTCTTAGCTTTTGTTTACTTGACTCTGTTTGTGCGTTATCCTCCTGAAGAGAGGTGATACTCGATCTAAGAATTTATACACGGAGTTGTACAGGTTGATATGAGATAGAGATTACCCTATCCCCCCTGAATGTGTAATAGCAGTGATCGTTGAGGTAATCTACAATTGTGGAACACTACTCTGAACTTTGGTTTGACTTGAATTTATGATATTTTCATTATTCTTGCTCTTGTCTTTGTATTGTTTAGCTGTTTTTATTCTGACCTGATCCATGCAGCCAGAAATTTGTTACATACAGAACTTGAAGGCCAGCTAGTAAAAGTTAAGGCTTCGGCTACACTTTGCTTGTCTGTGAATAAATATTTTGTTTTATTTACTCACTTGTGTTTGCTTCTTTTTCTTTGCTTTACATGGATATTACTTTATTACATTGCAATGGCAACAAACCCATTGATTATTGCTTATGAATGTATGAGATGTAGAAAATAAGCTAAATTATATGAGCTAACATAACTAGCAATGGTCCAGCAGAGAGTTTAGATAGTTTGGTTACCTTTCAGAAGCCTGATTCCAACAGTGTGGTTCAAAGGTGAGGGTGGTACCCTTTCAGAACATCACATATGTTTGAATTTCTATTTTATTACCATATATATATTGGCTCATACTGTACTTGTGAAAGTATAACTACAACACAGAATATTTCAAAACTTCAACCCTTTGCTGCTAACTGCACTTCTTACATCACGGTCTAAATAGCCCAATTATTATCCAACTCTCATTTGCAAAATTGGCCCTTTGACCATCTTGCTTTGTGATTTTAACAAGCTGCGCTACTGCTTGAGTACCAGTTATCAGCATCGAGGATTGTATCAATTTTCAAAGGATAAATAATTCAATGAATTCCCAAAATTCTTCATCATAATCACATTCGAGAACACAGTAAAAGTAGAAAAGCCCAGTCCATTAAGAAGGATGTGCTGCAGCCAACATCTAACTTCTTTTTCTGCACACATTTCAGCTGAAAATTAAGAACCATTGACACTCCAGCAGACTAAAGAGTGAAGACGACCGGCCAATCGAGAGGTGTGCTTGGAGATGGCGATAACCAGTTGTGTTGTTACCTCACTATTTCTAACGAATCCGACTATGGATACAAATGACTTAGGTGTCATCGTTCAACAATTGCTACGTGAACAAGAGCAGCTAAGTCCAAGGAACTCACTATAGATCAAGTTTGGAAGTTCTGTTAATAAGTTATCTAGGAATTCAAAAGTTTAAGGTGAGAGGAAATTAATTTTTATTGTAACATTTTCAAACATAGATTTCAATTACAATTATAATTTACGGCTACTATTTCCGAAATATGTGTTTTTATGTATTGGTGACGTAATACATACTCATCATAGTAACACTTTCAAAACGCGTTCCCTCGCTTCCTTATTTAGCACTCACCAATGGCGTTAACGGAATAAAATATCATTCAGCTCCTGACAGAATCACCGATTTCCCAAACTAAATTAAATGTTTTTGGAAATAAATAACTCTAAGTTATATAATTTCTTAAAGACGACTTGGGAAATGACGAAAAAGGTAAGGACTGGAGAAACAACATCTACTGGTTGGATAATCACCAAATCAATGGCTGTAGCTATTTCAGGCAAGACCATGGAGTTATTGGTGGTAACAGTGTCAAAGTGCTAGAAAATCTAAACATATTAACTTTGAGACACGATGTCATTACCGACAGGTTCAGGCAGTGACGTGTACATAGCCTTTAGCCTTTCTACAACATGAAAAGTAGTAAGAGTTAGGCCTAAAAGATGAACCAGTGCAGAAAAGAGCTAATACGAACAAAGAAAGATCTGTTGGCCAGATCCAGAAGGCAATAAGTCTTCAGCTGCTCTGGAGAACCTGATGTTAATGATAAAATGAAGTTGCCACGGTGTATGTATTTTCTAAATTTGATGTTAGATGTGTGCATATTTCCCTTTTCCATTTCTATTTCGCCTCCCAGTGACTCAGCAATAAATCTGAGGGCTCACACCGCTGAAGACCAGGTTTTGACACTCGTAAGTAGGCAAAGATAGCCCATTGTGTTGCTTTGTGCTCAAAAACATATAAACCATTTCCTTTTTGCTCATTTACAATGTTTTAGTTTGGTTTCTTTTTAATCTACTTCCGATTGATTTAATTTAATCTAAATTTTAGTAGTATTTTTGTTTTACCTGTTTTTTTCTTGTAAATTCCAATTTTCTTTCATAAATTTATTCAAATAGCTTTATTTTATCATGACTTTAGTCTTTTTGTTTGTTTGTTTTAATTTTCTGTTTACAAGTTTATCACAATTTTAATTTATTTTTGTATCCAGACTTTTAATTACTATATACAATTGTCCACCTTTACTCTTGTATTTTGACTTTAAAATAATTCCTTGATACCTTCCAGTTGAATTTAGTCTGATATTTACATTTACTTTTATGATTTTTTTCCCAATATTTGGCTTATTATATCGCAGTTCTTAAACATTTGCTTTATATTTATAGTGATCGATATTTTGGTATTTTCAAGTTGAATGGCAAGGTTCAGGAATAGAAATAACTAATTTTGAGCTTCTGACCAGTCAACAGCAACAGATAGCTACATTTAGCCAAATAATGAGATTAACTGCCACTTGCATAATGCGTCCACATCTGAGAACGAAGAGCTTGTACAGCCATACATCTTGGGCTCAAGCCTTCAAAATTCCTATCCGTAGGCATGCGACATGTGATATGTTCTGTGTACCACGGTAATGATGCACTAAATTATTATACTTGATGTATAGTGTGATTATTGTGAAGTGTATTGTATCTATTGCACATTATGATGTTAACCTTTACTAAATATAGATTTGTAAAATGTTGTACACCTATTTAAATCTTTTTGTTTGTTTGGGTAGTTTGTAGTGTGGCGTATGGACTTAGGATCGCGATTCTGTGAAACCGCACCGTGTCACTATAAATGTTGATTTTAAATTAAATTTTAAAGTTAAATTAGCCTGTAGACGGATTCAAGATAAAGAAGAGAGTTGTGAATATATCATAAACTAATTCCTTCTGTAACTTAGATTTAGATTTTTAATTATATTTCTTAAAATTTCCCTACAGATGGCGTGTTGGGTTTCAATGTTTTTGTTGGACATAGAGCTTGCCAGCTCTTTAATATTCTTCCAAAATAGGTTAAATTTTTGTATAAATATTATATAACGTGGAGTTATATTTTACTTATTACTTATTGACAGTAGTTGAAAATATGAATGGTATAATTCAGTTTACTATTGTGTGTGCTTCTAGTATATATGTTTGTGCTGGTGTGTTTAGAAAAACATGACAACAAAAGTCGTTTAGGAATAATTTGCATTTCAAACAACTGCTATCTTTGATTTTATTTAAGTTTTTTCTTGTTCAAGATTGACAATTTCTATGGCAGGTGATAAACGCATATATCATCGGGAGTTGTGGAAATTCTGTTGTTTTGTGTGTGTGTGTGTGTGTTTGCTGTCAAACTCCTTTTTTTGAGCTTATAACATTCAAGTTGGTAATCATGTGCCATTGCTGAAAGTATAAAATGATTGTATTTCATAGTAGTAAGAACGCTTGTTTAAGATATTTGTATTGATACTCCATGAATAAATGTTAAAATGTGACAGGTGTCAAAAAATAACTGGAAAATGTTTCATATGGGTTTTGGATTGGCCCTATACTAGAGCTGAGGATGTCAGAGCTGGAGAGCCGGGTTCGAACGTGTGCAAAACCACAAAATATTCCCTGCATTTTAAACTGTGAGTGCATTACAAGAGTGGCAGTCAATCCATTGGCGCGGATTGGTGATTAATAGGATGCTGCTGAATCTGATCAGTAGTAAATTAATTAAAGACGACAGCAGATAGCCTTAGCAGCTTTTACATAAATACAAATTACATAATGGGTTTGTTTTGCTTGTACAAAATCTCACACCAGAAACCAATATTGTATGACCTTTCGCTCATGATAACAGCGAGTTATCATGATATTTTTACAAATAATTGCTTTTCCGTGACATTCAGCCGCATTGATTTTCAGTCATGAAATTATTATATAATATGTACTGTTCGAGAATAACTATGATGTTTCATTACACTAATGTGTATATTTAAGTTCCAAGATACATATACTTCTATGAAATGAAATATGAACTAAAGATTTACGTCAGTTAATACATCCTTTATAGATAGTTATAATCAGAGTAAGAAAATCCTTCTTAGTTTAGTTGATTCATGAAACTGAGTTTTAGAAAAATATATAGGGCGCATTCGGACAAACACTCTATGTTTAAGTGTATGGTGTTTTTATCTGTCTTTTACTCACCACAGCGAACCTATATTTATATAGGATTTGAAAAACAGATAGAATTTAGCTTATTAATCTTAGCTCATTCAGTCGAGGAAAATATAGTAGCACAAATGCGACGTATTCTTCAAATATAGGTTCACTGCTGTAAACAAAAACATTCATATACCAGAGTTTACCTCTATATGAAGCCTAGTGTTGTCTGGTTGAGTTTCCCTTGTCCAAGGTGACTAGTAAAGGGTGGAATTCCCCGAAGCGGGTATAACTCAGTTACAAGTGGTGAATCGAATGATAAATTTTTGCCTTCATATTGATTTTTAGTACCCTATATTCAATAAGTGAGATTTTTATTTTGATCGACGTGAAATTTATTCTCCATTTTATTTATTTGCGCTTAGAACGTTCTTGAATAATGATGTACTCCAATTTTTAATGGGTTTGAAATTTTTAATGGCTTAGGCAGAAAAGTTTTGCGCACCTGAGTGTAAAAACGAAAAAGACAGAAGATGAATGTGAACAATCTGCTGAACTTTATATACAGTTGTACAGATGGCGCTGCGAAATAAAAATAAGTGGAACGATTCTCACGTATTCCAAAAAAACTCAACTTTACTTCACATATTTGGAATACTCAAATATCCTCTTTTTTAATTCTTTCTTAGGAAAATTAGACTAGTAAATATGTATAAAAGATGCTGATTTGTTGTTGTTTTTTTAACTAAAACTCATTCACATTTTCTAAAAAATATATATTTCAAGTGGTTTTTATAATTTTTTTTTTAAAGACACTACCTCATGGAATAGCAGTATCATCAAAAACGCGTTCTTTGAAATTTGGTATACTTTTTAAAAAATCTAGAGGTTAAGTAGCCAATGTTATAGTCTTATTTTTGACCTCTGTTTGATTCCTTAATTGACGACTCACGGTGATAAAATTTTCATGCAATGATTCAGTGCACAACTGGCGATGGTACCAGGATTTTTTTTCATAATTGATGGACTAATACAAATTGCTATTAGGCAAAAAAAAGCCAATATAAATGGTGGTTGGTGCCTTGCATATCACATTGTGAACATATTCAAAAACACGCGAGCTATTATTTATACGACAGAGGGTGATATTCTTAACGTGTGTGTGTGTGTGTATATATATGTAGTTTCATATATATATATATCTACTGGACCCTTACTTCACATACCAAATTTCAAGGCAACCCCTTAAGAAATACACGAGATATAAAATCTGCAATTTTGATTTACTTTTTTCTTCTCACTGAAAGTACGGAAACTTTATTTGATAGAAAAACATACTTAACTTTTATGGACTTTTTTCAAATTTGGTACACTGATAGATATTTATAACCTACAATTACGTGTAAAATTTGATCAAAATATAAGCCACACGTACAAAGTTATTCAACAAAAATCACTCAAATTTGACCAAATTTTTGTGCACACTTACACAAAAATTCACGGGAGCCATCGGTCTAAAATTTGTACAGCAGCTTCATGTAAGAGTAACAGTGGAGTGATTTTAGTTTTTGTCTTTCGGATTAAAGAAGGCTGATTTATAATAGCAAAAATATAGGGTGAAATGACATGCACATACATAAGTATTGGTTAGGGCAAGCTAACTATATTAGCAATGTTTAGCTCAAGTTATAAAAAAATCGTATGGGTGGACGGTTATTATTGATTATTGACTGCCAACTTTTCAGTACAAACTTACTAAATTTTATGAAATTATCCTAATTAAAGAGCGTTTAACGTCACGTGATATTAGCTTCAGCAATTAACGTAAGTAACGATGCTTGATTCGGCTGTACCGAGTGCATGCGGGTGATGACAATAAACTGTTAATCTAGAGTCCATGGCGTAACTATATAGGACGTTATTAACACTGTTTTAAAGAGGAAAAACTACCACCAGACATTTTAAAGAATCTGGTTGGTTTCTGTAAAGTAAAAATGTGTTCCGAATAATAAGGTTGCGACGATCCTAAAGCTAATGTAATGTTGGTTATTATCGAGTGTCACTTTCTTATTTGCTGTAGTTTGTTGGTGTGTATTGACAAAAAGTCGTGATATCTAATCAAAAACACCTTAGGTGTGAAAAAAGGTGCGACCAAAAAGGATTGAGCGTGTGACTTTAAGGAATGGAATTAAAATTGGCAGCCAAACTGGTAGCTACACTTGTAGTATTCATAAAAGTTTTACAGCAAATATTCATTCATTGGTTAGCTAGGTCGCGTATTTTGTTTTACCCACCATAATGCCCCAAGTTGAACGAAAAACGCGGTTTGGTTAACCAATGAACGAATATATACAGTAAAATTCTTATCAATGCTCTAAGTGTCGCTATCAGTTTGGTCTCGAATTTTTATTTCATTCCTTTATGTCGCACGCTCACTCCTTTTTTGGCCGCGCCTTTTATTCGTACCTAAGGTGTTTTTGAGTAGACAGATGTAACCAAAAAGTACGTGAAACTGGAACTGTTCATAATATAAGTGGTAGAGGTATGACACCGAAACTCCAAAAGTGACGTTAAGTATCTCAGGGTTGTTATTTATGAAATAAAAGACAGTCGATACAGATCTTGCCTACGACTTTGTTGTAAATACATTTATGAATATTACATTGAGAAGAGTTTGTTGAATTTTGCGCAATGCTACTCTAGGGCTGTCTGCGCTAACCGTCACTAATTTAGAAGTGATAGATCAGAGGGAAAGCACTAGTTAACACCATCTACAGCCAAATATTTGGCCACTCTCACCGAAAAGTGGTATTGACCGACACATTGTAACGCCCCCACGGCCAAAAGGGGAGAGCATGTTCTCCATGAAGCCATGTCAGGCCTCGAGAATAATATAATATTCATTAGAATGAAGAGGTAAAGGGTCTCAACGGAGGTGTACCTGCTCAAAAATCACTGCTGAGAGGAGATAACCAAACCAAAAACAGTGGAATAAGTAAAGCTGAACATTCGAGTTCTTTTACAGATGAATCCAAGTTAGAATTTTTCTATAACAATCAATAACAGTTTGTAATTTTAGAGCTGAAACAGTTTGACAAAATTGATGGCACCCAGACTCCTGACAGTTAAGGAAGACTTCGATCCATCATGCTATTCCCTCGGGAACATGTCTCACCTTGTAGAGAGTCATCTTGCAGCAAGACAGTGATTCCAAGCATATATCGAATGATATGAAATAATATCTTCATGGTAAAGAAATCGAAAGAAGACTCAAAAACATTGCTTAACCTGCACAAAGTCCCGTTGTGAACATTCATAAGATGGTATAGACTTATGTAAAAACTGAGAACGTCGAAAAGCGACCAGAAAACTTGGTTGAATTGTATTGAGTAAATAAGGACCTGTATAGCAGTATGAAAACAATAATGCTTTGTATAAAGTAAAGAACTAGCATGTAAATTACTGGTGTATAGTACAAATTATTCGCTTTCCTTTTGTGATTTTTGTTATAATGATTTGTACTATTAATAAATTCATCAACTAGTTGCCATTACTCGTTGTTTGTAACTCCTGTATGTGTACCGATTCTGTGCTTACATAAGCATGTTCATTACTGTATACTCATGTTTTATTCGAATACATTAAAATATGGAATTTATCTGTTCTTAGCACTTTTCACACTTCTAACTACTTCAACATTAGTGAGGTTACGGAAAAAAAATATATATATAAATTTTGTGAACCATTTCCTATTCAGGTATGGATGTTTCATGTAATGATAGAAAGATGAAATAAAATAGACGAATTAGTTAGACGTGACATTACATGACTGACTCTACTCATTTAAAGTTTATTTTCTTTCCAAGTATAAATTTATAAAATTTGCCTGAAATAAGTATAAAAAAATCTTCAACGACTTAAATACATATATTACGATGTAAACCAGTCCCAAATAGCACATAAAAGACTATAAGGATTTTTATCTTACTGTAGTTGAGTTCAATGAATGAAAAGAGTGATCATATCTAACAATCAATGGTTGTTTGCTTGCTGCTTAGAGTTATCGCGCAAAACTACAGAAGGGTTATATGTGCACAGCCGTAATTTTGAATTCATAGACTAGAGGGTAGGCAGTAGAGAACAGTGTCCACGACCAATGTTTGTCTGTTCGAATAGTGGGATTTGATTGTCACTTTTATATCGTACCGACAGCTCCAATGTTCGAACTGGTTTTTGAAGCAACGAGATATAAATCATGAACTCTCAGATTCACAGTCCGAACACCCCTGGCCCTGCATCGATAGTCAACAGCTCTTAAGAAATGTAGTATTCTGTAAGATTTTAGTTATTGCCGTTTCACGTCTATCAATTATTTCTTTATTTTATTTGATGTTCTTTATAGCAATCATAAGATTGCCAAGTAACACGAAAAGTTTTATATTTTACTGCGATAAATCTAAAAGTTTTAAAATGAACTCAAACAAGTTACTTCAGGGGCTAATCTAGGATTTTTATTTAGGATCGATGGGGTGGCTTCTTGATGGGGTCTAGAGCATGTTGTCCCGGTTAAAGGTGAAAAATACAAACATAAATTTCTAGTGATATCTAAATATGCATGGATGTTTAGAAGTAGAGAGTTACTGAAACGAGATTATAGCGAGTTAAGAACTAAAACTCTCATTTCCTGTTGTTGGAGGAAATAACAAAAACAACGTGCATATTTTCTCCGTTTTATCCACAGAAACTTCCATGCAAGAAAGGGGGAAGTTTTCAAGGCTTTAAATCTCTTAAGCCCCCACCCCCACTTCGATGGCTCAACGGCTAGTATGTGGGTTTATAACGCTAAAAACCGGGTTTCGGTACCTGCAGTGGACAGAACACAGATAGTACATGACTTAGCTTTGTGCTTAACAATCAACCAAGAAACAAATATATCTCAAAATCACTTAAACTATAGATATTTCTTTAGCACATTATTGATTTTTGCACTCCGGTGGGACAGCCGTAAGTCTACGCACTTACAACGCTAAAATGCGGAGTTCGATTCCCTGCGGTGGACACAGCAGATAGCCCAATATGGCTTTGTTCTAAAACATACAAATGTTGATTTTTTATACATATTTACTATCACATCAGATGTGGACTGAGGATTCAACAAGGATCCTCTTCTCTTTATTGTTTTATATTGGAGTCATCACTATCGACGTTGCATTAGGTCAAGTGAAAAAGATCGAAGTTAAAATTTGATAAGTTTTTGTTATGTTGCATGAGATATTTTATATGTATTTTTTAATGAACAAACATCTAAAATTTCGAAAATGTAATAAGTACTCTATTAAATTATTTGTAAAGTAAGCTGAAAGAGAAACGTTTTGAACACTCAGAAAGCAAAACAAACAACTCTTGTGTAAGGTCACAGTTGTTGGTTTCGTCTACCGAGTTGCATCATGTAAACATAAACACTCTTCGTTTGTTTCTACAGAATTATAAAAAGTTTGATTTGTTTTGTAAAGCAGCCAAAATGTTTTTCTATAAGTGGATAACCTCGTGTAGCAACCAATGCAACACCACATAGAGTATTTCAGAAGATACCATATAGTCTACTATGTGCCACTGATCTCCACTTTCTTCACATAGCTTCTCGAAGAATTGGTGAAATTGCGAGAACAGCTGAGTGAACGGAGAAGCCAAGAACGGAATCAGCTGTAAGGTTGATGTTACAATTCTGGTAGAAGGTTGTTTGTTTCATTCGAAGAGAGGTTCGTTCTTCAGTTAGAACTTAAAATAGTAAGTACAGTTTTCATATAATCCAATTTGATAATATAATGTATTACATAGAAGCACTTGGAAGCGACTTCGTTTAATAGTTGATTTATTGTGTTTTTGTATCCAATAGGCAAAGTCCATTCGCTTACTAAGAAAAACTATTATTTTATATTTTTTTTTAAACCTCCTTAGTTTAGTTATTTTTCATGGCGATGTTAAAGAGAGTATTAGAAATGAATAAAGTTACGTATATAAATGTTTACATCACACGTAGTTATTAAGTTCTCTCTCTACTAGAAAACTCGTATTCTCACACTCCCTAGTGCTTGGAAAAACAATATAAACTCAAGTGCTTTATTTTCATGACATATTATAGATATTATTTGGCGCATATTTTAGTATAATTTATATTAAACTAAAGTTTACCATCGAAGCACAAAAACACCGAAAAGTAGCGACTGAAGATAAGAAATTGCCTAATAAACAAAATTTATGAAAATTCGTTATAGTTTTTTACATTTTATTATATATATATATATAGGGCATTGTAGAAATGACGTTGTTAGTTAATATGAAGTATTTTGTTTCTGTTGTAATTAAAAGAAAAAATATATTTATAGTATCGTTAAACAAGGAGAAAGGGGTAAATGTTACGTAAAATATTGCATATGAAAAACAAGCAAGGTTCTGTATTTGTTTTAATGATCCAAAAAATAGACAAATAACTTCATTAAAGTCAATTAAAAGAGACAAGACAGATGCCAATAAAAACATCTACGAAAGCTATAATACCAGATGTTCCAGAAAGTTCTCATAGTGAACTATAATATATCAAGCTACTCGTATTATCTCTTCACAGAGTATTCGATAAATTACTTGTTTGTTTGGTTTTTGTGAAGGAAAAAGCTCATATGTTACTTTTTTATATTGTGCACTCTAAGAAGCGTTTGGAATGCTGATCAAGATAAAATAAAGGCAAAATTATCAGAACTAATACTGTATATCTTTAATTCTACACATTTGACATTGGATACTATACAGTATACAATGTTCTTACATTTTACTTAACCTCCTGCCGCACGTTCACTGATTTGTCACTCCAAAATGAGAGACATTAAGCATCCATGAATTTTGAAGCTTGATGGCTTTCTTCTTTTTCGTCCACATAACAACATTACTTGTACACTTTCATTACTTTTTTTGTAACAAGCGGCTTTCAGGGGGTATCCTGGAAAACAGTAAAGCTTAGAATTGTCTATCATCAACACTTCTGTAACAGCAGTGAAATCACATTTATTTTCATCAGTCTATTAACTACAAGCAGCTCAAAATGTAAACATTGGTTATTTTTCTCTTTTTAAAGGAAACAAACTTCTGTAATGTACGTCATTCAAACCTTATATGTTGAGTGAGAAGATTGTTCTGATCACTGGATCTGGTGTAACTTAGCAATGTTGTATTAATACTGTATATATATATGCTATAGCCTTAACAGACAAGTACAGTATGTTGTGTAAGAAGTTCATTACATTATAAAAAATAGATAGCAATAGAGATAATAAAAACATCACAAAGAATATTGTGAGAACTCGTGAAGAAGGAGATATAATAAGCATAAGATTTTTTTTTTCTGTTTTTGTTTAAAGCGCAGGGCTGCACAATGGACTATCTGCGTTGTGTCCACAGTATGGATCGAACTCGAATATTGGCATTATAACCCTTCAAGCTTATCACCGAGGAGAAAATATTTTATTAAGTAATGTTTGCATCAAAACATTTGGCGTCAGTGTGCTTTATCTATACAATAAAGTATGTGTGTATGTATGTGTTTTTGTAATAGCAAAGCCACAATGAATTATCTGTCCACCGAGGGGAATCAAACCCCTGATTTTAGCGGTGTAAATCCGAAAACTTACCGCTGTCCCACTGGGGGAAAATATAATATAGGGTTAACATTTCAAGAATTGCCAATTTTGTTAATTCCGCGTTATTTCATTCAGTCTCTGATGTGAAGCGATAAGTGAATATAGTGCGAGGTGCCAGGCAGCCTAACAAAAATAATAGAAATCGAACACTGCGCTAAACAAAAACTTAAAGGATAATCGCAATTTGTAATATTATAACTATGACAGGGCAAGCAACTGTCATAAAATCATGTCAATCGCATTCCCTATCCCTCAGTTCATAATTAATTTGTGAAACAGACATATACATATGTGTGATAATTCGCCATGTAATCTGAAGTGAAAATGATTGTTCATTTAACTCATGATGTATGTAGTGGTATTATTCATAAGCCATTGCTGGACTTTAAAGAAGAATTTTGTATGTTTCACTTATGTGGAGAGCTATCGGATGAATGGAAGCCAGTCAATCACAGAACACTGTTGTGAAGTGACTACAAGTGTCGCAAGGTATCGTTAGTAGAATGTACAACCGTTTACAAATTAATGGTACAGTTACTTGGACACATGAACAAGGCAGTCATAATCTGCAACATAAGCACGTGACCTCTATTTATCGTTTTTGACTCGTCGCAATCGTAGGGGTACCTGCTCCATGACTGCGCCATATCTTCGCAGCCGCAACTTTCGGACAGAAACAGACTATACAAGGCCAAACTGTATGCACGATACCCAAAGAGTTGCTTTCTTCTCACAGAAAGACACAAAAACAGCTGTTTTGCAATGATGATAAGAACAAATCCACGCAGTATAACTTTGAAGGAATGTACTTTCATCAGATGAGAAGTACTTTACCCTACAATTAGATAATGTGATGCATGTAACGGTAATGGAAGCCTACTGTGGTCAGGAAGAAGCTTTGGTGAACGAACCAAACTCTTTATCCTGCGTAATGGTACCATTAATGCCAGGCATTGTAGGGACCAAATTCTGTGTTCTTTTGTGTTGCCATATGTTGGAGAAATTTACCTTCAATTCACTTTAATAGGTTATAACGCCCAACCCCACTGTGCTAAGCTGTTCGACACATTTCTTGAAGAACAGAAGACTGACTGAGTAGAGTGGGAGATGTTCAATAGACTTAAATTCCATCGAACATGTATAGAATGCTCTTGGGAGATGCTTTGTATCTCGTAAAGTGACTCCAAGTACTAACAATGCAAGAAAAATTACTATTTCTAATGGGAGGTCCAGGAGACCACAGGACTTTAACTAGTTCTGATTTTAAGCAGACAAAATTGGTACGAGTCTACTGTTACTGGCAGCGAAGACCATATATACTCCACATTGAGATAAAATGTCGTGAACTGTTAAGATATAAAGTTACGACTACCAAATGTTAATTTACGAACGTAGGCTGAATTAGCAATTACTTGCATTTCAAATCACACGATGATTATCGGCGTTTTTTGTTGTTTTCTTTCTCTTTTTTTTTGCCTTGTCCTAGCTAAATAATATAAATTCTAATATTTTTTTATTTGTTTTGTCTGAAAAGTACCTTTCACAATACCGGTGACGTAACAAAGCGACACTTAAACTATAAAAACTGCTTGAAATTTACATCTTTTTTTGTTTGTTTTTTACTTTCGATTTGGTCGCGCGACAGCCAGGGTACAGAGAAATTAGAGGAAACACTTCCTAGCTTTGTATTGCTAGAGACGAACAGGTCCAAAACATCGCCAATGGTTGAATGAAACCTAACAAATGAACTATCGAAATATCCTGAGCTCTAGGTCAAAGTTCATAAACATATATAGGCATAGTGATGACATTTAGGTGTAAATTTTCAGAAAACTGGATACGCTAAGTGCAAGTTCTGGTTACTATTTCAGTATTTTTGTTAACTTTCTAGTTATCTGCAAAATATCCCTACTTTATGTTTGAGAGAGAGAATATAATGTTTTAATATAAATAATACTCGGTGTGTGCATTGATTCAACCTAATATGGGTAGCCGGTCATTGTTCGACCTGTATTGATTGTCATCTATAATTGGTGTCTCGTTTCTAAAGCCATGGAATTCCCTCAAATAGTTTCTTATTTTTTATGATATTCTGTGTACCCAGCGTTACGATTCGAAATGGGCAACAGTAATAGTTCTTTTTTATTCTCTGACTGAAACTTTTAAGGCATTATCGGCATACATCGTAGTAATTTGGATAGAATACTGTATTTTTGCACACTGCGTACACTATTTTGTTTATCTGTGTGAAATATCGTATCACATTCTCATGTATAGAGATACTTGTATATATTTGAATGAGACTGATCGTTGAGTTATTATTCTCAACGTCCTCAATGTTTTTCTTCTTCTCTCGTGGTTGTCAATATACTCATGGTTTACTTAACAACTATTAGATAAACGTCAAGGTCGCTTTAAGACTGTTTCTATGACCGCACTGCCTTCGAATTAATCAACAGACCTTCTCCAAATATACATAACTTTACATTGTTGACAGAAATATGTTTGTTTGTTTTTTACGTTGAAAGGGGTAACTAAGGTTTTAGGTTAACATCTCAGAAGTCAGGGCTGTAAAGAGAAACTGACTGATGTCACGTTTTTGGACAAACCTGTAGGTAATATGATATTTTTAAGAACTTTTAATTTAATGCATATTTTAAAAAGTTACAATTTTCAAGGCATCATTTATTTACTTAACAGTTAGCAGTAATTCTTTCACAGCTTGTCTGTGATCATTGCTGTTTACTTGAATTACTTTTAGTGCAACTTTCAAACGGGTGCTTCTAATTGCGATTGTTTTTATTTTCATTTTGTGCTTCAATTGGATGGATTATGAAAATTAATAGTTTGGTTTTCAACCAAACGACCTTACTCATAAATTTTGTTTTAAAAATTAAAAGTGGCGAGGGTTGGCCCTGTGGTAGAGCTTTGAATCTTGATGCTGTCGATCCGGACTCGAATCCGTGCTATACAACAAAATAATCCTCGCACTTTAGGCAGTAGATACGTTATAAGAATGACTGTCAATCTCCCAGTACCAAATTAAAACTGAAAGTAAAAATATAATCTTACTTCTCGAATTTTGATACATCTTTT